CACACATATGTAGAACATAATATTTTATTTATTTGTTTGTTTGAAAAAATTGAAATATATATAATAATAATAACCATTTATCAAAAATAGTAGTCCAAAATTTTGGAAGCATTTAATGCATACCTTTTCTTGGAAACTTTTCAAATATCTGCATTAATTGCTTCCATATATACATTTTCAAATAATATCAAATCAGATAGGATAAAAAACATTGTTTTCTTAAATAATTTTATTAATGTATGCAATAATTTCATTGATATCCATTACAATAAATTACAAGATTGATTTTCCGTGATTCCTGTTAATAATATTTTGGTCAAGATAAATATTACAACATATTTTAAGTTCTAAGCATAATATTAATTTTTTTCACAAATATTCAATTTTTATCCAAAAATATTTATAGAAAATCGTAACAGGTTAGGTAGAATTTTTTCTTCCAATTAATAAGGCGAAATCAAGTTGCTGAATTAATTTTTGCCAATATAATTTTTTCTTAAGCTTTAGTTCGTTATATATAAAAAATAAATTATTCTTTAAATTAATATAATTTATTATTTAAGAGATAATGACCAGATACATTAAATAATTTTACTAATGGTCAAAAATTAAAATTGTAATATATCAACTGTTCTTTAGATTTTATTTGTATATTATTGGCAACCATGATTATTTTATTTTTACCATTTTTTATTTTGATTTCTATGATGAAATTCTTGTAAAATATATTTTCATTGAAGAGTATGCTAAATAAACTATAAATTCTTATAATGCAAATTAGAAAAATCTTAATTATAGAAGGGATTGAATTTTTGGCATTTGTTAATTAGTACACAAAATTAAATTCTAAAAAGACACGTGTGTATATTTTGGTAAATAGTTATACACAATTTAATTTTAAATATATTTACATAATTTAAATGGATTACATACATAAATAATACTAAATTATAAAATAAAAAGAAAAAGAAGACGTACAACTTCTATAACTTTTATAAATTATATGACATTATATGACAACATAGCTTATAAAAAAATAACAATTAAGTATTATATGATGACTAAAAATAAGTAAAAATGTTATTTTCTCTTATATCAAGCAATAAATATATATACTAAAATCAAACTTATATTAGTATAAATGTGTTAGTGAGATAATATATTAATTGTTTTACAAACTAGCTCTAACATGCTCATATTTAATGTTCTGACTAAATAAAAAAACGTTGATTAAAAGAGGTGGAAAATAAATTATAACTCTGTTGTTTTCTGGACTTGAAAATAAATGATAACCCTATTACTTTTTAGACTTAAATGAACAGAGCTTGTGAAAATAACTAATTTAATATCTATATTACTAGCTTATAAGATAAACATATAAAAGTTAGAATTGATTTAATTTAAATAGAATAAAATATCAACTGATAGTAATGTTTATTTCGACATAGATTTATTAGATTAATTAAATATCAACTAATGATAATTAATATTTTGAAATATTTGAGCGACTGAATAGTATTTTTGTTACAATAAATCGTGTTGATAAAATTGAGAAATAGTAAGACAAACAAAATTGTATTTTTCGAAATAAAAATGTTTTAAATCTAATTATCAATGGAAAAATATGTGCGTCCACACCAAATTAATTTTTTTTTCTTTATTCAATTGCCTTTTATATCTAATCTCAAAACTCCATTTTTTTATTTAATTTTCTGCTCATAGCTTATTGTTTTTCCATCCAATGTTGATGAACAATATATCAATTTAACTATCCTACCTAGATCTATAATAGACAACCATATTAGTGCAAAATTAGGTTTAAAAAAATGAGTTGCAAGTTGCAACAAATGTCTTACTAGAAGCCAACTTTAAGAATTGTACAAATAGTTTCTACAGAATCTCACTAGTAGAGTTCACTTGAAAATTTAATTTGAATTGTTTTTGCTCAGAGACTATGGACATCTTTATGTACTCAATATTATATATTCGTACCATTTGCGTTCTCATAAACCTCAGTCACCTAACTTGAGGAACCTTAGCTATTAAGATTAGTAAAATTAAACACATCTCATGTCATTGCTTAAGACCCAAACAAATCATATAAAAAGCTTTTTCCAGGTTAACACATTGAACATGAGTTTGTGCTTATTGTACATCCATATACAGACGCTAACGTAGGAACAAAAAAAACCTGGACTTTTTTTCCTTCACATGAACATTCATCTCAGTCTTCCCATACAATATAACTTCCAGACTTCAATTCCATTATCTCTTCTCATCTTCAGTTCTAGTGCCTGAAAAACACGATACACAACCCATTTTCATCGAGTTCCAACATAATTTCCATGCACATATCATCTCTTATTTTAGTTCTAATTAAGTGTGTATATGGTATAATCAGCGTGCACATGGCATGTATTTACAAAGTTCAAGATTTTGTTTTACATTTTCATAATAGTCGCTTCATCCACTTATCAGTGAGGCCATCCACAGCCCAACCCATTATATTAACCAGCTTATTTTAACACATACTCAATTGTCACACATGACAAACTCGGATGCAAGCTAAAGTCCAATTTATGGATATGCATCCATTGAAACTCAGAATACGAGATAATATGCTATTTTGAAATATATATCCCTGACTCTTGCTAATACTAAATGTGCAATGCATACCTGGCATGTAGAGTGAGCTTTCGGTTAGTTCTTGTATTTCATGGTTTCTTTCTCGAACCCGATAGTTGGGAATTGCTTGGCGTACTCCTCGACATCATGGCGGAGATTTGCAATCTCAGACTGAAGTGAAGCACTGTTTTGAATTGTTGCCAAAAAGTCCTTCAGCTTTGTCCCTGGATGTATTAATACATGAGGAAAGATGAAAGAAAGAAACGATTTTAAGTTATGGAGCTTTGAAGATGAAGTGAAGAGTGAGTGACCTTTTGTCTCAGCCTTGATTTTTACAGCCAATTTCACAGCGGCATCAAAGAACTCAGCAACTTTTACGAAATCCTCCTCAACAAATCCTCTGGAAGTAAGAGCCGGGGTTCCTGGACAATTGTGAAAAAAAGGGCCGAAAAAAAAAATGTAGTTATAAATTATCCTTTGACATTTACAAAAGGCTGCTTAGAGAATTGCAAACACCTCATCACGGCTGTCTTTGCTCAATACAAATAGCCCTTATATTAGTGCAATTCGCAAATTATAAACAAGTATTACTACATGTGGCTTTAGAACATGGACAAGTACGCTGGTAAATAGACCGAGTTTTAGGCTTTCTATTTCACTTGTAATTTTCACTTTATTTATTTTAATTTATTTTATTTTATTGTTAATTACCCATCCTGATGCCACCCGGTACCATGGCAGATACATCTCCAGGCACGGTGTTCTTGTTGGCCGCAATATGAACAGATTCCAATACTTTTTCCACCCTCGAACCATCAATACCCTGTATAAGAATAAACCAGCTTTATTAGAGTCTTGTTTCATATTATAAGAATCCCAAATGCAGAACTTGTTTCTTAAATATAATGGAATTTGATAACACAATTATGCGATGAACCCAAAACAAATATTTATTGTCTTCTCAGCCAATGTTCTCAAAGCATCAATTTATTTGACCAACATTTTACGAAAGAAAAAAATAAAATAAAAAATTGACAGCTTTTACCTTGTTCTTCAGATTGACCAGCACCAAATGATTCTCCGTTCCACCAGAAACAAGATCATATCCTTTCACAGCCAAAGTCTGCAGACACGAGAATTTTCAGTTTTTAGTGCTAGATGATTGCATACGATAAATCGAATATACCTTGGATAAATCAATTTACCTTGGCAAACTTTGAGCTATTGCTCAAGACTTGTTCTTGATAAGATTTGTATTCTGGAGTAGTCGCCTGCATCCAGACAAAAACACGATAATGATGCATAAAAACATGCCCATCGAACCCAAATTGCAATACACGACACTAAAACCAACCATATATGATAACTGTTTCAATTTAATATGATACAAATTATGGGATCTTAATTGTGACATACAATACTTAGACATGTCAGAGCATAGTTACAAAACCAAAGGCAGCAATCAATCCCAAATAATGTACACACACACACACATAGTTTTCCAACAAATACGCGATTACTTCACGCACCTGCTTCAACGCAACTGCCAAACCAGTGATGGTGTGGTTGTGGGGCCCACCTTGAAGACCAGGAAACACAGCTTGATTGATCTTATCCTCATAGTCATACAACACCTTCCGAATAAACAAAAGTGTTAAAAAAAAAGGGGCCCATAAAAAAATTCAGAAAAGATATATCATGTGATCATCAACCAACCTCTTTTCCCTGCTTGTTAATCTCCTTAACTCCCTTCCTGAAAAATATCATGGCCCCCCGGGGCCCACGAAGTGACTTGTGAGTGGTGGTAGTCACCACATCAGCATAGTCGAACGGAGATGGGATGACACCGGCCGCTACCAATCCACTGATATGCGCCATGTCAGCCAATAGGATCGCTTTCTGCTTGTCACATACCTGCAGCAATACACATGAAAAGCCACAATCTTTATTGTGGGGATTCTTTAGAGCATGTTTGTATACAAAAATTTTCACTCAAAGTGGATTTTTTTGGTTAACTAGAGCTAATTTGGAAAAAAATGGCATGGTTAGTTGTTAGTGGGATTTTGGATTTATATTAAAATAATATTTAAAATAAAATAATTAACGTTGATTTGATGTAAAAGTATGAGAGAGATGATATGAAGTGATGGTTGGTTAAAATTACGTGAGTGGATGAACAGTGAATTAAAGTAGATGTGATGTGTAAGAATGATTGGATGATATTATTTAATTATATTGATAATATTGAGGATATTGGAGTTGAGTTCAAGTTGAGTTAGATTTTGAGTTGAATGAAATTTTGAGTGAAAATTTTTGTATACAAACATGCTCCAACAACTGAAATCGCATTATAAAAATATAAAAGTGTATGTGTGGATTTTACCTTACGAATACGTTCATAATCATACAGGCGAGCATACGCACTAGCACCAGCAACAATTAATTTTGGCCTGAACAGTACAGCACTCTTTTCCAGCTGCATAAATGGATCAAATTAGCATTGTCAGATATTTATGTAAAATTTTACACGGTGTCCATACAAGAAGTTCAAAATTGGAATAATAAGTAAAGATTGTAGATTATGCTCTGGAATTCTAAAACAACAAAAGAAAAAAGTAAAAAAAAAAAAAAAAAAAAGAAAAATTGCAACAAAACATAATGCCAAATAGTATCANCACACAGATTTTCTTTGACCAAAAAAATAAAAGAAAAGATGTAAGAAGGATTAGGAAAGGATGATCAGTAACTGAAATGACAAAGTTACCTGATCATAATCGATGTAGCCAGTGCTTTCGTTCAACCTGTATGGCATGGTCTCAAAGAAAATTGACACAGCGGATATCTTCTTTGTGTCAGTCTGTACAAATTGACAAATATACAAAATTATTCTCAGAACCAACAACTGGAAGCAACTGATATTAACTAAAGAGTAAGTCTTAAAGATGTTTCATATTCATAAACCAGTTTCATAAAAAGTTTAGCATCTAAAACATTAGGTAAGCAAGAAATTTTGTTAAGGTTTGTGAGACGGAGGGTAATACTGATTAGTCAGGCCATGCAGTGAAGTCTGAGGATACCTGATAACCATGAGAAAGATGGCCTCCATGAGGAAGATCAAGTGCCATTATTCTGTCATGTGGTTTGAGCAAAGCAGTGTAAACGTGAAAGTTTGCTGGGGATCCTGACAGGGGCTGCACATTCACTGCATTAACCAAAATTATGAACTATGAAATTCAATCTTTAACAGTGAACCATTTATTAACCCTTTCGAGTACATATTTTAAATTGCATTTCGTTTAAGAATTCTATATAGAACGGAACATCTTACCAGATTCAAAGTCAGATTAGATGATAGTCTTCTACGAGATCCAGTTGTCGTTAGGTGTTTAGGCAGAAGCCAAGGTTTAATACAAAAAGTATCCTTTAGTTGCAGATTAATTGCATTAATTAAAAAATGGATCTCGATTACGAAACAATAAGATCCCATCATTTTCTATTTCTAAAGTCCACTCTCATCTGGAAGGTTGATATACACACCGTTACAGACCTCAATGAGGTCTTTGTGATTCTCATTGGTAATTACACTAAATCTAATTACGCATCTTAGTTATGAAAATTACCTCCCCATTTTTCAGGGTCCAACCGGAATGCTTCTAGAGCACGCTTTTGGCATAATGTTTCAGCCATGTCAATATACCTGAGGTTCAATTGCACTTGGTGAGAAGCATGCAAATCACAGGAGTAAAAAGTTCAATAACAAAACACAACATTAACCAAGAACTGAAAAAAGAAAACTATATTTGAGGACTAATCACATGAACTATATAAGAAAAAAAAAAAAATGACAAACTTTTGAGATTATACTACTTACTCATTTCCACCATAATATCTAGCACCAGGGTAGCCCTCACTGTACTTGTTAGTCATAATTGAACCAACGGCTTGCATCACAGAAACTGAAGTGAAGTTCTCTGAGGGAATAAGTTCGAGCCCCTAATATATACACCATACGGTTCACACTCACATGTCATGTTCCAGAAATACAAGAAATAATTACTTTTGAAGCATCGATAGTGGTGATCGACATCAGAAGGCAAAAAACCGTAGAACATCATGGCTAAGAGAATAATGAACAAAACAAATATCTATCTGATAAACTACAAGAGAAAGCCCAAAGGACCAAAAGCAAAGCCCTGTGCACCAAATTTGTGCTGCATCTAGCAATATGAAAATACTTCCAAAGGTATATAATATTCATAAAGTCATCAGTACATATCAAGGTGTACTGGTAGGTTATCAGTTATAAAACTAACCAGAGGATGGAAAAGAAAATTTATTGAAAAAAAAAAACAGTAAAAAAATGTACCTTCCATTGTCTAGCCTTTTCAAGCTCAATAATATCAGCTATCTCAGGATCAACCACTTCCAGTGGAGCATTGAGTTGCTTTGGCCACTGAAAATTAACAAACCAACAGTGGAAAATATTTACAAGCCCGAATGAGTTTCCAACTACTTAACCAAGAGGTAATCGATCAACTCGTGTTTAAACTTAGAACACGCATCAAACAGTTAACATGCATACCGGGACACCAGATTTTTCTTTCTCATACACTGCTTCATCAGGCAAAGATGACTGCGACATACAAAATTTTGAATTATCCAAATCCACCCGCCAAATAACAACAATAGTTTTACAGTTGAACAGAATATTAAAAAACAAGGGAAATAAAAGTAAATAGTATAAGACCATGTAATAGATGGAGCCGCCATTATTTAGACGCTTGATGGGCTTGTCAACAGATGAATAAAACCTCCTGACGGCCATTGCCAATGCCATTTTAGTATTCACTTTCTCTCTCTACGCGTACACAGAAAACATCCATATAGAGATAAACGGATTGTCTCTTGGTTTTTGAATGTCGTTGAGGGTGAGATTTGGGTGGTGGCAGATAATTTGACATTTTTTCTGGTTCTGATTTGTCGGGTTACCAAAAGTTGCTTTTGCTAACATCGTCTATCCAGATGGAAGTGGTGGGAATACCAATTGAAATAGTGCGGCCATTTTCTCACCTTTTTATATAACTAGTAAAGTGCACGTGGCGAGTGGTTTTGCCGATTAAATATCATAAAATAAATTAATTAATTTATTAAACATATCATTGCAGGAACGAAGTAAATATAGAACAAATGAGCTTTCAATAGTTTTTTTTAATGACATAATGATGTCCTAATATAAAAAGAATGAAATGACATTACAATCCCAACAAAAAAAATCCCTAATAGAAAAAAACAATAAATAACTAAATAAAAAGAGAGATTTCTTTTCTTTCATTTTGGTTTTGACGTTTTCATAAGAAACGCTCATGCTCGTTGGAGCCTAGTACATCAATAGTATTGTAAAATTCTTTTTAATTCATTTGACAAACGTACTTTATTCAAATACTTACAAATATTCTGGTCAAATCAAACTTCATGATTGTATGATCTTTATAAGGTATTTCTACTGACAGTTCATGAATATCTTTGTAAAATAACCAACCGTATCATTAAATTGTTGAACTTTTTTTTTTTATCATTTTATAAACTACTTCATTACTGTGTCCATATATATAGACAAATTGTACCTATCCCATGGAGACATTGCCCCACGGAGTGAGAATGAATTTTATCTCCAAATAAAAGTTAACTTTCAAAATCTTGGTTACATGTACTTCTCTTGAGACGCTAAATTACTTTTTGAAATCACCACATTACATGAAAGTACGTATTGTAAAGTAATTGCACATATGTTCAAGCAAATACACAATGAGATTGTAAATAATCCTATAAAAAGAGGACAATTTCATTCAATTATTTAAAAATGTTTTGATCAAGCTTCGACATTTTTTTTTCCAATGTTATTTATTTGAAAGACAAACAAACTATATAATCTACTTTTTGCAGATAATTGATTATCTTAGTCGTTGCAATGATTTTAGCGTTGTTTATCATAATATCTTTTGCATTCATTCAAATTTGCAGTACTTATTTGCCTAATAACTTTTTTTGATGTTGTTATTGTCCAATTTATTTGAATCATACATAATGCTTCGAAAATTCAAGATAAAGATCCTTTCTTGGACAAAAAAATAAAAATAAAAATAAATAAAAAAATAAACAATGAGACAATATTAAGAAACATATCATTTGTTAAATATTTGAGAAGAGAAGAATTATAATTCTATTATATTATGATACTCTTAGTCGCTCTGTGAACTTTATTATTACGAAGTTATTATAAAAATTTATGTTATGTCTTACAAAATTTTTATTATTTTAACTATATTTAAAATTCTTGATAATATAGGATCATTATTTATGAGAACTAATTTCTTACATAGTTCATATATTTAGACGCTAGCAAAAAAAATTAGTAATTTTAAAAGACTTTGTTTCAAATATTGGTATTCATATTTTTCTAAGATAATTCAAACTTTTTCTTTTCCCATTGAATTACTATTTCATTTTATTTCTTTCATGTTCAATTCACAAATAATATTTATTTGTTAAAAGAATTAGAGCATATTTATATATATTGCGTCTACATATAATGAAATTGTAATCAGAATATCTTATTTATTAGGCTACAACAAATATAATGAATTACGATAAATACTATTTAATATTACTTATTTATTTAGCTATAATAATAATATATTTGACAAAAATGTACATTTATACTGGTTAGAACATTAAAAAGTTTAGGATTTTTTCATTGTTTGATAAAATATTAAGTAATTAACTCATTTTCGTACTCATTGAAAATATATGTTAACCATTATGGTGTTCCTTTCATGCAGTTATTAAATAATTGTTTAAAATATAACTTATTTATTTCTCCTTTCAATTCACATAGCTAACGTTGGTAATAGTTGTAAGTTTACATCCATTTTGTACGTTTTTTTCCTATTTGTATGAATATTTCAAATTTATGTAAGCAAAATATAACACAAGTTTATCTTATGTTTTTTTTCATACTTAATAAAATTTGTTTAACATGGAGTTATAATTTATTTTATAAGATATTTTTAGGTCCATTTATTATTGTCAATTAGTAATGATATATATGTATATATATTATTTTATATCGATAGAAATAAGTATATTGTTTTTATTTTATTTACAACATATTGGTCAAATTAAACATCATTTGAAAGAAATGATGTGATATATTACGTATAAAAAGGGTAACAAATAAAAAAAATATTAAGTATTTTAAAATTGAAAATTTTAATGGTAGACAGTAATTAAATTTGTAGCTGAAAAGAATTAATATTGCCTAGTCTTACATTTTTATTATGTAGAACATCATTCTTACCACTTGTTTAGTTACTATAATACTAATAAAATAATTAAAGAATTTTCAACGTAGATGTATCTTGTTTGTTTTGAAAAAAATTACTAATTATCATAAATTAAATGAAAATTACATTAAATGTATTATATTTTCTATCATTATAAAAAAATTTCATAATAATTAGTTTCACGTAATATTATATATAATGTAAATTTTTTTATTGATTTAAAGCCTTATTTTTACTACAAGAAAAATGATGAAATTTTAACAAAAATATATTACAATCGAATTTCAACGACAATCTAACGAATATTTCAATGTTATTACTCCCTTTTGAATTTTCCAATAAAAAGTTTCTAACAAATATTTCAATGGGCAGATCCATGTTCATAGGCCCGACACAGACTCTCGTCCCAAAACATCTAGGATATATTATGTAACAACAATTGTTGGAATATTTTTCATAATTTTAATCATGTCTCCTATTTTAAAAATAAAATTAAAAGAAAGAAAATATATAATGAATTACTTTACAAATCAACCAATTATAATTTAATCCAACTCATAACTTTATTAAAGTTTTATAACATAAACTCGGTATCACAATTAAAGAAAATATTATAAAATCTCAAAATTACAAATTTACCCTCTAATTCTACTTTTTATTCTTGATGATAACTCTATTCTCTTTTTTGCAACATAATGTTTTCTCTAACTTCAAAATATATTTTTTACATCTTTTTTAACTAATGTACGTGGAATTCTAGCTATATGTTCATAATTTATAAATTCATCAATTACATAGTCGAGTTGAGCGAACTATACTACAATATAAATTTTTTGTTCATAAATTTTTTTAAAAATATACTATTTTCAGTGATTTTCTTATGTTGAATTTACAAACATTATACTTTTTTTTTTCGTAAATACTTTTTAACTTATTGTGATTGTATTGTTGTGTTAAAACTTAAAAATATATTACGAATAAGAAAGATGAATTAAGAAATTATAATTTATAAATTATAATGACATTATATTATTTTGATGGTATACTTTTTCTATGAACTAAATATTCCCTAAATATTAATTTATTTTGGATATGCCACTACAATTAGTTTTTCAATGGAACTTACATTGATTTGTTTACAATTCCAATGATAGTTTTATCAGGTTGAAATACGGTCTGACAAAAAAATACGAAAATTCACATAATAATAAATAATGGTAATTGGAATCATTAAAATCCATTAAAATTTCAATGTAATTTAATTTGATATTTGTTGAAATATCCAATGAAAGTTATATCAATGAAATATCCGTTGAAATTTTCAGCGGAATACCTGCCTTCAGATTTTCCATTGCAATATAGTAATTTTTTTGTATTTCTTTTTAAATATTAAAATTTTTATGTAGTAGTTTTTTTTAGTCCATAATCTTTTTTCAAAAATCACTCATTATTTTATCTCTAGATTACTCATTAATTTCTCAGTTTAGTTAAATTTCTTACATATTAATTATTAAATAATGAAAATAATTATTATTTTATATATGTAATATGATATTTATATATTATGTTCCAAAAATTATAGCAAATAAAAAGTTAAAAATTAGAACAATCAATTTTATTTTTTAGAAAAAAGTTTAACAATTCTAACCTACATGGATTAAAATACAAATAACTATTGTCTATCACCTAAAACTTACACATATAAGTAATAAGCACAAAAAAAATATAAGCATTTCATAACTCAACTCATTTACATCGATAAGTACAAGTTTTTAAAGTTTATATTTACTTTTATTAATTATGAAATTTTTATTTATTACCTTTTTCATATTTATTAGTAAGTGTTACGATTTAAAATTTAATGGCAATTGGAATCACTAAATACACTAAAATTTCAATGATAACATGTAAAAAATTAAATGCGAAGACTTATTGCCAAATAGATGAATGTTGAATGCTTAAGATATCTTTTATATTTGATATATTTATAATAGTAAAACTATAATTACAATTATTAATAAAAGAGAAAGTAAAATTTATTGTAAAATTAGAAGTATGCATAATAACAAATGAAATAAGTTAACTAAAAGTAATTGAACGCAATTGTCAAATAAATTATAAAATATGTTAACTTTTGTTAGTTAAGAATATAAAATAATATGAGTATTACTATATTACTAATTTGCCATTAAAAATATGTCAAAGTAAGGGTGTTTTAGACAGTTCATTATTTTTACAAAATCACTCGTCCTTTTATAATAGTATAGATAGATATAGATAGACTAGTAAATGGACGTGCGTGATACATAATATATATTTTAATATAATTTTTAAATTATATTTTATATTTTTATAGATAATTGCATGTGATAGTTTATATTTTGTCTTCTTATCTTGTTGAAGAAGATCAATCTTTGTCATTATTTTTATTGGCTAACTAAAATAGATATAATTCAATTGATAAATGTTAGCATATTTTTTAAATATTATTTATATTATCTTCTCTTTTCCAATGACACAATTTCCATTTGCATTTTTCAATTGATCTAAATAATTATAGTTATTTTCCTGATTTATAAATATATATTAAAATTTAAATTTTGGTTGAATTTTAGTTTTTCTATACATTAAAATATTATTGTATTTTTCATGAACCATTACAAACATATGGTACACAATCTCATTAGATT